CTAACAGGTTCCTATCTCAGGATCACGGCCTTTCACCAAGTCACCGCTTGCCTGATAGAGAGGCACAGAGATGGTGTCACTGTAACTAGGACAGGGTGTGAGAAAGCTCATACAGGGTGACAAACGTCAAGAAATAGGTCAAAGCATATTACAACATCTCCACTATCTCAGGAGTAAGATAACAAACAGGATCATTCCATAGATAACTCTGCTAATTGTGATTCTGTGTACATATTACCAGCAGAATGGGGGGGCTGAGGTTAAAACACAGGGTGAGCTGGAGCAATGTGGGTGTCAATGAATATAGTGAGGCGCAGTGGTACACGTGGCGGCGGCCATTTTGTTTAGCCGAACGCGCTCAGCGGTGTTTGGTCGTCGAACTCCTGGAACTGTTTTCGGCTACGAGTTTCACTAACACCGCTGAGACTCTTACCGCTGAGACTCTTCGGCTAAAATCATACGAACAGAGCACTAATTTCAGGGAATAAACTGTCGAATGAACTGATTGCAATGAAAAGTATGCATAAACGGATCCATTCGTGCAAAGTCTCCTTAATTTGAAAGAGAAGATAGACCGACCGCACAGCCTAAATCTATGGAACTCTTTTGAGCAGGAAAGCCATGCTTGCGGACTTATACCTATAGGTCTTCTATGTGTGACTTATACCTATCTCCCGAACTCCTGAACCGATTTGGGTGATTTTTTAATATGTTTTTCCCCTAGTTATGCTTGTTCTGAAAATGTAAGTTTTATTTGAATATGATGTATAATTTTGAAGTTATAAGAATTGTATAAAAGCTGAATATTTTCCTGCCTGTGATAATTACGTTAGCCCATTGTGTTCAGTAATTATATCACAGGCAGAGGGGAGGATTTTGCTGTAATGAATGGGAGTGTCTGACTGTATTGTACGTTGTTGATTGGCTGTTCCACAAGGCCCACGTGGGTGTTAACCTTGTGGAAAAAGCTCATGCTTGGGGGATGGGATAACTACACTCTGGGGATTGCTATAATCACATTATACTCCCCAGGGTAAGCTCTTATAAGAGCTGTTCTTGTTCCTGCTACACTCTCTGGAGGAAGAGAGGTCTGCCCACTGAAAGCTGGATCCTGGCCTTGGGTCCAGGGTAGGCGAAGGACGGCGAGACCCCAGCACAGCTGCAAGTGGGGTCCGCAGTGCTGATGGTGTCGGTTGGAGTGCTTGGAGTCCTCGATTGGCGGAGGTACTTGGTCGTAGTGCCAGTGGTCCGTCACAGGCTTATACCTCCTGGAACATCAATCCTGTTACATATCTTAGTAGGATCAGCAAAAAGACATACCTAACCATGTTTTAGAGATAATCCCAGTAGAGAGTTTAGAATATGTGTGCTCCTGGCACAAGCAGCTATTTTTGTTTTCCAGTTAACATCAGGAAGATTAAAGTCACCCATGATGATAACTTTCCCCTTCATTGTCTCCATGACACCGCTACCCTCAGTGCCTCTCTCCATGACACCGCTACCCTCAGTGCCTCTCTCCATAACACCGCTACCCTCAGTGCCTCTCTCCCACCGCTACCCTCAGTGCCTCCCTCCATAACACCGCTACCCTCAGTGCCTCCCTCCATAACACGCTACCCTCAGTGCCTCCCTCCACACGCTACCCTCAGTACCTCCTCCATGACACCGCTACCCTCAGTGCCTCCCTCCATGACACGCTACCCTCAGTGCCTCTCTCCATGACACGCTACCCTCAGTACCTGAGCCTCTCTCCATAACACCCAGCTACCCTCAGTGCCTCCCTCCATAACACCGCTACCCTCAGTGCCTCCCTCCATAACACCGCTACCCTCAGTGCCTCCCTCCATAACACCGCTACCCTCAGTACCTCTCTCCATAACACCGCTACCCTCAGTACCTGAGCCTCTCTCCATGACACCGCTACCCTCAGTGCCTCCCTCCATGACACCGCTACCCTCAGTGCCTCTCTCCATAACACCGCTACCCTCAGTACCTGAGCCTCTCTCCATAACACCGCTACCCTCAGTGCCTCCCTCCATGACACCGCTACCCTCAGTGCCTCTCTCCATAACACCGCTACCCTCAGTGCCTCCCTCCATAACAACGCTACCCTCA